TCCTCCTCTTTCCCAGGCAGCCCCTTTCCCCCCCCCGCCCCGACCCCTTTTTTTTTGATCTCCTCGCAGCACCGTTTCAAAAGCGACCCACTGCGCGGGGAAGAAAAACCCCTCCAGTGAGATCATTGCGAGACCCCCAGACGTAGGGGTCGGGTGTGAAATGGACCTCCCTCCTCCTCCTCCTCCTTTTCCTTCTCCTACTCCCTTCGCCCGGCCCCCCCGGCCCCTCTGAAAGGCTGTTATGTTTTGTAATCGGATTAGGGGAGCCCTGCGCCCTCCCCGCTCCCGTTTACCAGTGCCACCAGTTTGCGCGCCGCCGCGCTGCCCCGCGGATTGTTTAAGCGAGCCGGGAGCGAGCGGAGAGCAGGCCCGTGCGGCGGCCGGGGTAGGTTCGGCCGGCGAGAGCCTGAAAGGTTTAGTCAGGGAACAAATTGCTTCTCTGTAGGGGCCGTTTTTCTTCCCCGAGTCGAACATAATGCCGGCAGTTTGGCGAACAGATGGCGCAGCTAAAGCAGATAATCCCGCTCGGGGAGAGGCCCTGCCCGCGGCTCCGTCCCGGGACAGGAGGGGTCACGGCGGCGGCTGGGTGACAATGACACCCTGGGAATCCACGGGGAGGTTGGGAGAGCCCCCCAACACCTTCACACCTCTCCTGCTCCCGGGGTGGTTGGGGTGCCAGACGCTGCTCCTGCCTCAGTTTCCCCGTGGGGAGCTCTCTGCCGGGCTCACCCTCAGCTCGCAGCCCGATGCGCCGCGAGACGGCACCGCTTCTCCCCGTACGGGAGCCAGGGGCAGCTGAGAAAAAGCTCGTTTTATTCTCATTTTGCCTCTTTCCATTACAACATTCGAGATGGGGAAAGAGCTGAAGGAGAAACCCTGCCGGCTCGCCGGGGTGGGGTGTGCGTGTGTCAGGCTCAGGGGTGCTGGGACCCGCCTGCTAAGGAAGTTTTTATTTAAAATTTATTTAAAATTTATTTAAAATACCAGCAGGGAAAGGCCAAGGCCCCGCCAACACAACGCAGGCAGGGAAGGGCATGGACACATCCATGTGGAGCAAGCCCTGCCCGAGCCACGCTGGCACTGGGGACCCTTCCCCATGCCGTGGGGGTCTTGCAGCCCCCAGGACATGCTCCAGATGCCCCACGCAGCATCCCTGCTTCCAGGGGGGGTGTTTAATTCATGTTCCCCCCCGCCCCTCACCAGCCCTGTCCCCTGGGATCCCCGACTCCGACAGCTCCGTGCCCTCTCCCGCGGCAGCCCAGCTGCCAAAATCACCTCTTGGTAACGCCGGGGCTCAACCAGCTGCTCGGAAGGGGTTTTCCAAAGCAAAGCAATAACAACATCTCTCTGTTCCAGCTGGGGGAAACTAAGGCACACAAAGAGGTGCCCGAGAGTCCATTGGAATTAGAGGCAGGACAAAGCCCGGGAGCTCCCCGGCGTACGTGTCCTTACACATCCACAGCCCCCACCGCCTCCCCACCCCCAGGCACAGCTGATGCCGTGTGCCGGTTGATAGAAAGCCAGCTAATCATCTTTCCCACCTTCGTTAGAGTGTGAATCGTTATCCCAGCGACACCTGTAAAGCTCCTTGTCAGACGGGGCTGGTGCACGCGGCTAATAATGGGCACCATATGGGAGAGGGAAGGCTCGGGAGAGGAGCAGGGGCCCGACCGTCTCCCTGGCAAACAAAGAGCGGCGCCCGATGGCTTCCCATCACGGCAGAGCATCACCAAAACCAGTGTTGGGCTCTTTGAAAGACCAGCAACATTGTGCCATGGCAAGGGAAGAGCCCGGGCAGCGCCGGTGGTGGAGGAGAAGCCACCGCTCATGGTACTAAACATCTCCTTAACTCCACAAGCCCTTTGGAAAACAAAACCAAAAAGCAACCTGCATGAGGGTGGTGGTGAAAGGTAGGAGAGCCATGGAGCCCTGCTCCCCTCAGTGTGGCCAAAGCTTGGCACTGGGTGTCCCAAACCCATGGAGGAACACCCGGAGCATCTTCTCCTGGCCCAGGCCACCCGTGGGCATGGACCTCCCGGCACCCGTGGGTAATACGGTGATGGAGAGGACACGGCCTGAATTAGAGACAAGTCCCTGCCTTGGGGCTGATCCAGAGTCCCCCACGCTCCCTCCCTGACCCCAAACTTGGGGGGCAGAGCTCAGCCCCTCTGCCAAGCCACCCCCGGGATGAAACACCCCCC